GCCAGAGGCGGCACCCTCGCGCACCGAGAAGCATAAAGCGCCTGTACGATGGGGATGGTCCTGCCGGAGGCGGGATTGCTGACGAGGGTGGGGTACGGCCCCAGCGGGGTGTTGGTCTCGTTGGTGGGCGGCGAAATGAGGAGCGGCGGTGGCTGGCCCGCCACCTGAGGCTGGCCCGCCGGCGCGGGCTCGCCGTACAGCAGCGTGTGCGAGTGGCCGCCTGCGGCGCATGTTACATAGGGTGGCGTTGCGGAGGGAGGGCGGGGCTCGAGCCGGGAGCACCGCAAGGTGCTGTTGCTAGAAAGGCACACGCCGAGGTGCCGCTGTTGGTGGTGGTGGGCGGCATACGCGGTGCCTTTGCCTTTGCATATGCACGCAGATCAGGGCGTGCCATCGATCCCCTGTGCTACCGCCACCCAGCAGCAGCAGCAGGCCGCGCCAACTGCCCACTCCAACTACCCACCGACGATGAGGTCCACTCCGGCAGCCGCGGGCGCCGCCGCCAGCGCCACGTCATCGGTGTAACCGATGTGCGACAGCAGGATGACGAAGTCCGCTCCCTCCGCCCTGGCATCCGCCACGCACCGCGGCAGGGTCTCGTTGTAGGGCAGGAACTGGACGGTGGGGCCTGCAGCGGGGGCAGCGGGCGAGGGGGGCAGGTGGCGGTGGGAGGTTATAAAGTCGGGCTGGCGGCAGCGATGCAGGATCGGTGGAGAGCTGAGATGACGGGCCGGAGGGAGGCGGTACCAAACAGCAGAGGGGGGAGGAGCAGGGCAGGTGGGGGGCAGGTGGGGGCACCCAGCCCAGCCCAGCCCAGCGCAGCCCAGCCCAGCCCAGCGCTGCCCAGCCCAGCCCGCCGGGGCGCACCTGGGTTGCTGGTATCAGGTGTGTCGATGGAGGTCAGCCCCACGACGCCCACGGTCACGTTTGCCAGGGGGAGGTCGATGAGGGCGTAGGGCTGCACCAGGCCCTCCAGCCCCGGCTCCCCGCTGATGTCCAGGTTGCACGACAGCACCGGGAAGGCCCCTGAGATGTTGGCAATGAAGCCGGCCAGGCCCGCCCCCTCGCCCACGCCGTTGTCAAACTCGTGGTTGCCCAGGGTCTGGGGAGCAAGGGGAGGGCCGTGGGGTTCATGCCAGGGGCCAGCATAATTGTGCAAGGGCGAGAGGGGGACCATGTGGGAGCGCCGGTGGCAGCCAGCGCGGCGGCGGGCCCGGGCTCACAAAGGCCTGCACGCCGATCATCTCCAGGAACTCCGGGGCGATCTGGATGCCTTCCTTGGTGTAGACCGCGTCCCACAGCGTGCCAGTGTACTGGTCGCCGGCGTGGAGGACCAGCGTGTCGACGCCGCGCGCCGCCGCCGCCTGCCGCGCCTCGTCGATCACGGTCGCCTGCTTCGCAAAGCCGCCAAAGCACGCGTCCACCTTATCACCCTCGCACTGGGTGCCGAAGTTTGTGTCTGCGGGGTCGTAGCTGGGAGAACAAGGGGGAAGGAAGCGAGGTGGGCGGCGGGCACGCGAGCGGCGGAGGAGCGGGATGGCAGCGGAGCGCCCGTCGTTGCCGGCAGGCAATCCCCACCGCGCGTGATTGTCATTTAGGTGGACTAGCTGGACTTCCAGGGGCTGGCAGAGCACGGTGGCCGCCCACAGGGCTAGCATCAGCAGGATGGGGCCGCGGGAGCCCGTCATGTTGGCACCACAGGAGGGGACAAGGATGCAAACAGATCTGTCTGTTTAGGCAGGCGTCCATCTGAGGGTTCCCTCTGGCCAGATCCAGGTCCGCCAGCTGGCCGACGGTGTCTCCTCGGCGCAGAAACCCTTCGTCCCTCAGGGTCGCTGGGATCGCTGGGCGGTGAGAACCAGTGTAAATGTAACATTGGAGGCTGTCCCCAGCATGTCACGGCAGGGCGCTGTGCGGGCGGCGGCAGGTGGTGGCACGGCACCTCCGCCTGGTTCCTCCCTCTTTGGCGGGCTGGTTCACCACAAGGCATCGATCAACTGATGCACTGAATGCGCACGAGCACACATAAAGCAGATTTTGCATTGCTGAATGACAGCAATTGGCTTGCTCATGTGCCGCCTTCTGGTCGGCCCGGTGGGTGGCTAGGGCGGTCAGAGTGACGACCCATCTGTTCGCTGTCTGTCGGCATTGCCATCAGAACAAATGTGCACAGGAAGTACGTTACCCGTTGCTGGCAATGGAATTTGGAGTTGCCATCCTTGGTCTGCTGTGGCACCTTTGTGGCTGCCGCTCACGCTGTGCCTGTCCTGCCATTGCGAGCTCGCCCATCCATTTGAGCTTCGCTGCAATCGCATGCCCTGCCCTTCTGCGTTTTGGATCTTCTGGCTGCGCCCTGAAACTGCGCTGGCGGGAAGGTCCTCACCCGTTCTCGGCATTGCTGGCTCTTGAACGCGGCGCACCGCTTCCAGCACAACCTGTGAGCTGCGAGGAGTGAGTGGAGACAGCGTGAGATCGCGCCGCCAGTGCCGCCTCCGCCCGCCCGCCCGCCCGCCCGGCGGCACCCGCTGCACCTCCCGCCACTCGTGGCACACAGGTCATTATGTTTCGCACCCCGTTGTCGCAAGTGCTTCAAGCAGTTCCTTTCCCTGTGCCGACAGGAGCGCCAAGACTCGTTCTCGAGGAGGCTGCCGGCAGCATGGAGTCGGGGCAGGCGGCCGACCTCGCCATCTTTGTCTGCTGCTGCGCCCTGCTACTGGGCTACAACATTTTCTACTTCTCCGTCGCCTCATTCACCTTTTTTAAGAGGCGGTACATCATCCTGTACGCCGTCAACCGCCAGTCGCGGGCCTCCTGGGTGCAGCACCTGTCCAAGGGTGGGGCGGGCTGGGGGTTGAAATGCCGGGCTAGGGCAACATGGGGCTAGAGCTGCCTTGCACCGCACGTACACGCCTGCCCCCTTCCGCCCTGCTGCAGATTCAAAGGAGGGCATCAATGCGGTGCAGGTAGCTTCCAGGGCCCGATGCTTGCCGCTGCCAGCGCCATCTGTGGCGATCCTGCCTGTGGGCCCCCTGCCGTGGGAAAGCCAGGCCGGGCCAGAGGCTCCACCGCCCACTCACACACCTTGCACTGACACTGCTGCCTGCAGACAATCAGGAACCAGGTGCTAGCAGTGTCCATCCTGGCGGCAACCACCGCCCCGCTGGCGGCTCAGTTGATCAATGTGAGATGGGGAGGGAGCGAGTCCCTGGCTCCCCGCGCGTCTCCACCTGTCTTGTGGCAGCGCTGCGGTCTGCCATGCGTAGCTCACTGCTACTTACCCCGCCCTCCCGCCCTGGGGTTGTTGCTGGGGAGCCTGCAGGTGATCACAGACACTGCCAAGCTGCAGCAGGTGGCAGACTTCTCCAAAAGCGACCCCATCTCAAGCGTTGCGCTGGTGAGCCTGCTGCGGGGACTGCTGGCTCCTTGGCAAGCACTGCGCTGCTGGGCCACAGCCTGCAGCAGCGCCCGGCAGCCGCAGCTGGCCACACCCCCGCCGGCCAGCCTCCCGTGTGTCTCACTCGTTGGGTGCCGTCCTACTGCCCGCCCGCCTGCCTGCTGCCACTCTGCAGTTCTCCCCGCAAATCAAACTTGGCATCGCTCTGGGAATCCTTCTGTTGGCTGTCATGGCCTACGCTCAATCCGTGCGGCTGTCGGTCCACATAGGCGAGCGCGTATGCCGGCTGCGCCGCCTGCCGCTCGGTGCCTGCTGCGCCCGCTTCCTCGTTGTGCCATCAGGGAACATGAGGCTGCAGCGCTTTGCGGCAGCTGCCACCTCGGCTGCCAGCTCCGGCTCAACCAGGCGGGAAAGGGTGTCCAGTCCCTGCGCCTCGCTGACCTCTGCACCCCACCGCTTTCTGCGCCGCAGGCTACACGATACGCGTGGTTGCCAGCGATCCAACGGGCTACACCGGCCTGAGCCACCTGTCGGTCACGCTGATGCGCCGCTCCAGCCTGTACTTTGCCATAGGTGCGTGTACTGCTATGGGTACCATCAGAGGTACTGCAAGTGACCAAGGTACTGCTAGAAGGTGCTGTTGATCCATGAATACTTCATGCGTCCCAGACGCACCTCTGGTAGCGGTACCACCCTCTGCTGCCTGCCTGCCTGCCTGCCTGCGCCGCCCGCAGGCCTGCGCCTGTTCTTCGTCTTCGGCCCCCTCGTGCTGTGGATCATCGGCCCTACCACGCTGCTGGTGGCCACGCTGCTGGATGTGGCGGCGCAGTTCTTGTTTGACGTCGTGCCCGCCGCCGCCTGCGAGCCGGAGCCTGGGGAGGACGACAAGGCAGAGGCGGCGGCAGACGCGTCGGCGGCGGCCAAGGCAGACGCGGCAGCGGTCGCGGAGCACCAGTGACGTTCGTTTGCTCTCCAAATTTGCACGTGCTTTTGCAAAGCCGCATGGCTGCAGAACAACCAGTGTTGCAAGCCAAAACAGGCAGGATAAGAGTGCGGGAGTGAGTGCACAGCCAGTCTACTGCAGCTGCCGCTGTCAGGTTGGCGACCCCCCTTGAAACAGCGCAGCCCAGGGGTTGCCGGCCTCTCCAGCAGGGCTGCTGCTGTCGCTGGGTGGCGCCAGTGAAGGGGCAGGTGCTGCAGGTGCTGCTGGGTCTGGTGGCTCTTGTAGCTCGACCTGCTGCTGCTGCGCCTGCTGCTCTTCCTGCAACTGCAGCGCAGCCAGGCGCTCCACAGCCGGCTCTCCGCCCTTTGGCTGCTGCGCGGGCTCGCCGGCAGCGGCCGTGGTGCCATTGGCCGTCTGCTGCTGCTGCTCTGCTGCCTCTGCTGCCTGCGGCTGCGGCTGCGCCTGCTCCTCTGCCTGCTGCTGCTGCTGCGCCTGCTCCACCCGCTTCAGCACATAAAGATCTAGGCAGGCAAGCTGCACCGAGTTTGCGGCGGCGGGGTCAGCAACAGCCAGCACCCTCAGGCGGAAGCGGCGGGAGGGCGTCGCCCCGCTGACGCAGCCGCTGACGCGCAGCACCAGGCGGTGGTGGCGCTGCGGGAAGCTCAGGCTGCGCTGCTCATCCAGCATGACCCAGGCGCCCCTGCCTGCACACCAACGACGGCAATGGCAGGGCGTGGGCAGCAGCAGCGCTCAGACGCAGCAGCGCGCAGGCACGGGGGCATCCAGGCACGGCATGCAGGCGCAGCAACCCGACCCGCGGCAGTCACGCCATATGCAGTGTGCAGCGCAGCGTGCGCGCCAGCCATCCGCCGGCAAGGCAGGGTGCAGGCAGAGCACAGGCTGCGCCCACCTTTGTCCCAAGCCTCCAGCATGACGTGGCGGGGGTCGCGCTCGGGGCTGTCGTTGGCAGAAGTGAGCGCATAGGCCGCCAGGACCGCCTGCGGCTGCTCCGCCGGCAGCCGGTACTCCAGCCACGCCCCCTCCTTGCCGAAGTCCAGCCACTTGGTGGTGGGGCTGCCGTCAAACGCGCGCTGCGCCGCCTCCCCGGGAGCGTTCTCGCCCGAGGCCCGCACCGCGCCGCCGCACAGGCGCCGAGGGCTGGCCGCAGCCAGGTGCTCGTCCTTGGCCAGCCGGTACCGCGTGCCGGGGGGCTTCACCGCGGCAGCGCCGCCAGCGCCAGTGCCGCCGCTGGCTCGAGCCACGCCGCTGCCGTCCTCGCCCCGCGCCGCCAGCCAGGCCGCGTCACCCGTCTGCCGCGCAGGCAGGGCGACCTCCTCGGCTGCTGCAGTACCGCTGCTGAGCAGCTGCCGGCGGTCCAGCTCGTCCCGCTGCTCCAGCTCCCGGCGCAGCTCGGGCGACAGGCCGGCGCGCAGGCGGCCGGTGACGTGGCGCAGGTAGCCAGCCAGCCACCCCTCGCTCACCAGCTGCCGCCTGCACACGGCACAGCACGCACGCAGGTCGGCTGGCGGGTGGCCGGTTGGTTGGGGCGGAGCTGGCGCAGGCGGAGCGCGCTGCAGCAGGCGGCGCCAGGTTGCAGTGTGCTGTACTGCGACACTGCGGTGCCGGCATGGGCGGTACCTGCTCTCATCGTACTGCGTCGTGTACCGCCGCGTGACATCCGCCACCCCGTGCCGCCCCACCGCCACGACGTAGCTCAGCCGCTTGCCCCACCCCGCCTGCGCGATCAACAGAATATTTGGTCAGGTTGGCAGCGCCGCCACCTCCACCGCTCGCCAGCCTGCACGCCTCCATCCTCTCTTCCAGCTGCTACAGCACGCCTTGCGCGGGGCTGCCGGCGCACCGGCCCCGGCTCAACCACAGCGCGAGCCAGCGCACGCCTGCTGTGCCGCCCCTCCCCCCACCTCTAACTAACCTCTAAACCGCTGTGCCCCAGCCCTCTTAACCACTCCGCCCCAGCCCACAAACCCACACAACCGCACAACAACAAAAAAACACCGCTGCATCGTCAGCCCCGCCCCACCTCATACAGCAGCGGCTTGTCTGCCGCCGCCTCACAAGGGTCCAGATGCATCCACCTGCGCTGAGAGGGCGACCAGCACTCGGCCTGCGGGCAGAGTGGAGGCACGTGTGTGTGTGTGTGTGTGTGTGTATAGGGTGGTGGGCGTGGTTGGGTGTGTGTAGGGTGCAGTGAGTGTGTGTGCGGGGGGGTGTAGGGTGGTGGGTGTGGGCGTGGGTTTGTGTGGGGCAGGCCGGCGCCGTGCTGTTGCAGGCAGGGAAGAACAGCACCCTGCGACAGTACGCGGCGCGGGTGGAGGAGGGCTAGGGGCAGGCCGCAACAGGCCTGCTGTGCTGCTCCTCTCCCTCTCCCTCTCCCTCTCCCTCTCCCCTCTCCCTCTCCCTCACCCAGATGTGGTCCTCCCAGTCCATGGTCAGGCGCGCCTCCAGCCCTGCAGCCCTGCAGCACACAGCGGCACAGGGGTGGTGAGGAACGCGCGTGCGAGGGTTGGGAATCGCAGGCCCTCGGCGTCACACAGCCAGGTGCCCCATCGTCTGGCCATCCAGAGGCGGCACCCAGGCGCGGCACGACTTGCCGGCAGCACAGCGTGAAGCAGTTGGCCCACTCTGCGGCGGCGGCGGCGGGGGGGGGACGAAAGAGCGCGCCGGGTGAGCGGCGCGGCAGCGAGGCTCGGCCGCAGGGCGCGCGGGAGGCTGCTGTGGGAGGCTCCGCGGCAGCAGGGCAAAGCCAGGCGTGGCCATCAACCAGAATGCATGCAAGCGCGGCAGCAGCGGGTGGTGCACCGCTCACCGCCGCACCGTCCCCGCCGGGTCTCCAGCAGCTTCACTGGGTCGTTGTACCGCGGGAATCGAGTGGCGGCGCCGCACTGCGCGGTGGGGTGGGCCAGCGGGGCCACAAAGGTCGGGGGGCAGAGGCTGGTGGGCGGGCGAGCGCCGGCCGGTGCGCTGCCGGCACGGAAAGCGGCAGCTCGAGGCATGCTGGGCGCGGCCGGCTTGCCAGCCAGCCTGCCAGGCCAAGGTGCACAAACCCAGCACGCCAACAACCACCCCTTGCAAGCTAGGCTTGTGTACCTGCCCGCAGCGGAAGAGCTCCGTGCGCCCCGCCTTGTGGGCTGCCTCCTCTGCCGTGGGCGCCACCGCGCCCGTGCTGTGCGTATTGGCGGCGCCGCAGGCGGCGCAGGGCGGGGCGCTGACCCATCGGAAGAAGTCTTGCTTGAACCAGGACAGCAGCTCGAAGGCCAGCGCTGCAAGGGTTGGGAGGAGGGCAGGATGGATGGAGGGAGGGAGGCTGGGAGGGAGAAGGGCGCGTCGGAGGGTGAGTGGGAAGGGGCCGCGGGCCATGGACGCGGCCTTGGATGCAGGAAGCAGGATGCCGGCAGCAGAGGCGCGGAAGGCTCGGGCAGCTCCACAGCGCATGCACATGTGGCAGGAGTGTGTGGGCCAGCAGCGCCCCGCGCTCGCTCCGGTGGCCCTGCCGCTCACCGTCCCGCCGATTCAGCGGCGGCTGCTCGCCCATGGCGGTGCTCACGGCGCACGCCTCGTCCGCGGATGCCTCCAGCCGGGGCAGCGGCATCACGCTGAGGGCCATGGCCTGCGCCAGCTCATCCTCATACCCCAGCACCTTGGCTAGAGTGCCCTCCACCTGCTGCGAAAAGGCGGCGGTGGCGGCGGCGGCGCCGCGCAGGTGGTGGGCCGCAGCCTGGCGCTGCTGCGCGGCCAGCGCGGCCTCCTCCTCTAGCTGTAGCACAGACAGGGGAGTCAGCGGTTGCCGTGGAGGGTCTGTGCAGGGCAGGGCAGGCCACATGTGATAGCTGAGCAAAGTGGCCACAGACCTGCAGGGCCCGAGCCAGAGCCTCATCTGCATCCATGCCGGCAACTGCAGATCGCGGGCAGGTCCGCCTCCAGCTCGATCGCGCCCAGTGATGATGCCGAGGTTGCGGAAGGCTGCAAAGCGGCTGCTGTGACGGTGCGCAACAAATGTGAAGACGCATGCGACCGCCCACTGCTTGCCGGAGGCAGGCGGTCAATCATTGAAGGCTGCCACCATCAGCGGGTGCCAGCGGAGCGGTTAGGCGCCTATGCTGCCTAGCATGCCACCTAGCATGGGCATCCCTGGTTATTACAACAATGGCTGGTGGGTTCTGTGCAGAGGCGGCCAGACACGGACAGGGCATGCCGTCTTTGCAAAGCTAAGGAAATCAAGAGGGGCAGGCACTGCCACCGTCTCGCCGCCTGGGCGCCGGCCAGTAGAACACTGCATGCCCTCCTGGCACCGCCTCAGTAGCCGCCGCCATACTGGCCCATGCCGGGCTGCTGCGGCTGCATCATGCCGCCCATCATCCCAGGCCCCTGCTGCTGCGGCGCGTGCTGCATCATGCCTCCCTGCATCACGCCGCCGCCCTGCTGCTGCGGCGCCTCCTGCATCATGCCTCCCTGCATCACGCCGCCGCCCTGCTGCTGCGGCTGCATCATGCCTTGCCCGTACTGCGGCTGTACTGCGCCGGCGGCCGCGCCAATGGGGATGTTGTTGGGGTTGTCCGGCAGCTGCTGCTGCTGCTGCTGCTGCTGCATCTGTTGCATCTGCTGCTGCTGCATCTGCTGCTGCGCCTGGGCCGCCTGCTGCTGCTGCGCCAGCAACAGCATCTGCTGCTGTGCGAGCATCAGGGCCTGCTGGTCTACCACCATCCCGTTCTGCAGCATCACCTGCCCCCCCTGCCGCGCCTGCATCAGCGGCTGCTGCTGCTGCGCCGCCGCCGCCGCCGCCGCCAGCGCCATGCCGCCCTGCAGCGCGGCAAGCTGCTGCAGTGCCAGCAGCTGCTGCTGCGCCCCCTGCTGCGCGCTCTGCATCGGCTGCACGCCCTGGCCGTGCATGGGCTGGCCGGCCAGCATCATCCCACCGCCGCCACCGCCGCCGGGCTGCATCATGCCTGGCCCATGCTGCATGCCGCCGCCGCCCATGGCCATGCCGCCGCCGCCCTGGCCCTGCATCATTCCATTGCCGCCGCCGCCGCCGCCCTGCAGCGGCATGCCGGGCGGCCGCCGGGGGTCGTAGCCGCCGGGGCCGGGAGGGAAGTCTGCCTGCGGCGGCGGCCGCCCCATGCCGCCGCCGCCGCCGCGCCGGAAGTCGTCGGCGGCGCCGGGAGGGCCCTCGAACCGGCCGCCTCTGGGGGCAGGGCCAGGCCGGCCCCAGCCAGGCTCCTCCAGCCAGGGGCCTCCTCCTCCTCCTCCACGTGTGGCGGCGGCGGGTGGGGGCCCGCGCCCCGGCCCAGGCGGCCCCTGCCCGGGGCCGACGAGAGGGTCGCGGTCGCGGGGCGGCAGCGCGCGTCTGCGCACCATCATCGGCCGATCCCTGGGGTCAACGCCGGGGCCGGGGCCGGGGCCGCCGGGCCCGCCGTAGGCTGCGGCAAAGGCCGGGCCCGGCGGCGGGCCGTGCATGGGCTTGGCGCGGGGCGTGCCGCCGCCCGCCGGCCCGCCGCCGCCCTCGCGCTTGCGCTTGTCGCCGCGCAGCGGCTCGCCCTCGCCGCCGCGGCCCGGGGCGCCGCTGCCGGCGCCGCCGCCGCTGCCCTTGCGCCGCAGGGCGGCGCCGACGTCAAACAGGAAAGGGAGGAAGCCTCCTGGAGGCGGCTCCGCCTGCTTCAGCAGCAGCTCCAGCTTGGAAGCGGCGTCGCTGAAGGCGGCGCGCACCTGCGGCAAGAGGCGACGGTGAGGGGGCGGGAGGGGCGGGTGGGACAGCGAGGGGCGCCCGCGCAGCTGCCGAGAAGCCGGCAGCGGGCAGCGGCTGGCACTGAAGCCACACGGCGCCGCTTTGTGCCTCTGCTGGCGACAGCCGGCCGCGGCAGGAGCCAAGCGCGGGCCTCTGCCCCTCCTCTGACTCCGATCCCGCTTATGCAGGCGGCGGCAGGAGGGGGCACCCCCGGTTTATGCGGTACGGGGTCCCACCTGGTTGATGCGGTGCGTGCCCGCCGCCACGTCACGCCCCGTCAGCGGGTCCTCCACGCACAGCCGCACAGCCAGGCGCGGCAGCGGCGCGGGCCCGCCGCCCTCGCCGCGCGCCTTGTGCCGTGCGGCGGCGGCGGCGGCCGCGGCCGCGGCGGCGGCGGCAACGTCCGCCTTGCTCACCACGCCGCCCTGCTTGATGGAGACGGCCTTGTCCTGCGGGCGGGGTGGGAGGACAGGCAGGCAGGGTGGGAGGAAAGTAGACAGGACTGGACAGTGCGCAGCGGCACAGACGTGGGCAGCTGGCTGGCGGGGCGGTGAAGGAGCAACAGCATGCATGCCCACGCCGCTGCACTGTGCAGTCCAAAGCAGCAAACGGCAGGGCAGAGCGGTACGGGCGGTACCTCCAGGTCGAACACGCGGCCGTAGTACTTGAGGAAGCCGAGGAGAAGGTGGCCGGCATTGGTGACCTTCAGCCCCGCCTTGCGCTGCTCCAGCAGCAGCGCCAGTACCATGGAGCACAGCGCCCAGGTGCTGCAGGGGCAGGGACAGAACGGGGCGGGGGCAGAGGGGTAACACAAAGGCAGGGGAAGGGCCCAGATGGGGGTTGAAAATGGCTGGAGCTCGTTCCGCCATAAAAGGAAGAAAGTGGCGGCGACGCGGCGGTGCCACCACTCAGCCTTCCAACCGCCCCGCCCAACCCCTCCCAGCCCTTCCCAAACACCACACCACACGCACCCCACCCCCGCCACACCCACCTGAGCCCGCCGGTGGCCGCATCCGCCAGCCGCTGCTCCGCCAGTAGGGCCTTGGCCGCCAGGCACAGCGGGCGCAGCACTGGCAGCTCGCCGCACCGCGCCACCAGCCACGCCGCCGCCTTGGGCCCCTCGTCGCTGTTCAGGCACACATCCAGGCGCACACCCTCGGAGCTCTCTGCCTGCGGGCAGCCGCAGGGGGCCCGTGGCAAGACGCCGCCATCACACACCACAACTTCAACACGCCCCTGCAATACCCCGCCTGCCCCTGCCTTGCTGCCAGGCGTTGCCAAGCCTCCAGCCTCCCGGGAGGATGCGCGGGCTGGTCCCCGAGCGGGGCGTGTGCGGCTTTGGGCGCACGGTGCTGGGCTGGCAAGAGGGGGGAGCCACCCCACCCGCCCTCATGCGGGGATGCACAAGGGGAGCCCATCGGGCACGCCCCGCCCCCACCTTGATGATGGGCACCCGCGCGTTGAAGATGATGAGCGGGCGCTTGCGCACTGCCTTGCCCGCCTGCAGCTTGGCGCTGACCAGCTTCAGCATGGGTGCCAACAGCTCGCGCTGCTCGATGGTAAACCCTGTGGGGCAGGCGGGCGGTACAGCGGGCGGCGGCGGCTGGGAATGAAGGAGGGCAGGCGGGCGGTCCAGCGGGCAGCGGCGGCTGTGCGAGCTGCAAGGAAAGAGGGCCAGGCGATGCCGCGGCAGGCCGGCCCTGCAGCCCGCGGCCAACGACACACGGCCCAGCCCGGGCGTAGCCTGCTCGCTGCTTCAGTGGCAGGCCATCCTTTCGGGTTTCGGCAGCTGAACCCCCGGCCGGCCGCCGGCCGCCCAACCGGGCTCAGCAGAACCCGCTCACCTCCTCCGCGGGCGATGGGAGTCATCAACCCGGTCGCCACAACATCTAGGTCTGCCCCCGGCAGCGACACGCCGTGCACAAAGCTGCCAAAGGCCTGCACCTTGCGGCGCGTAGCGGTGGGGAAGGCTGCAGGGCGGGGCGGGCAGGTAAAACGGCGGGCAGGCAGGTGGCAGGGCGCGGTTTCGGGGGCATGGCGGGGGGGGGCGGGGGGCCTCTGCCCCAGCAGCCGCGGCACGGCAGGGACTCGACAGGGGAGGCCCAGACGCCCCGCCCACCTGCATCCACAGCCTCCTTCACCGCCTGCAGCGCCGCCTCCCGCCGCTTGCGCTCGCCAGGCGTCAGGGCGGCCTGCGCGGCGGGTGCGTGGGGTGGAAAGGAGAGGAGGCGGTGCTGGTGTGTGTGTGCTTCGAAAGAGCAAGGCAGGGCAGGCAGGGCGCACCAGTCGGCAGTCGTGCGGCTGAGCTTCCACCAAGCCGCGCCTGCTGGCGCTCCCTGCCCCGGATCCTCCCCTCCTGAACGCCCCGGCTGCCCGGCTGGCTGGCTGGCTGGCTGGCTGGGTCACCCCCGTCCCGCCTCACCCCCGCCCTGCCTCACCCACCTCCTCAGCAAACGCCAGCAGCTCCTGATGCAGCGCATCCAAGTTGCGCTGGCCGGCGCTGACGGCGGGCTTGGGCGACGCCGCGGCGGCGGGCGCCGCACCCGCCTCAGCGTCCGGCGGGCCCTCGCCCGCCGCTGCCGGCGCGCCGTTGGGCGCCGCCGCCTGGCTGCCCTCTGCTGCCCCTGTGTCTGGCAATTCGCCTGCCTCGACTGCTGCCTCCTCGCCAGCCTGGGCTGCTGCCTCCTCGCCTGCCTGGCCTGCTGCAGCTGCAGGCTCCTGCACGGCGCCCGCGCCCGACTCCTGGCCAGCCCCCTCGCCAGCCTCCTCTGCTGCCGGCTCTCCAGCCTCCTCTGCCGCCTCCTCTGCTGCCTCCTCGCCGCCCTCCATGGCTTCTGGCTCGCCTGCCGCACCCGGCGCCTCAGCCGGCGCCTCACCCGGCGCCTCAGCCGGATACTCCTGCACCTCTTCAGGATACTCCTGCACCCCTTCAGGCAGTGCCGCCTGGTCCGCTGCTACCGCCGGCTCCGCCTCCGCCGCCTCGGGGCTGGCTGGCGCGGCCTCCTCGGTCACTATCTCAATGAAATCCTCCCCCTCACCCGCCATGGCTGCTCTAACAGCGCGTGGCTGCCTGCTGCTCCCGAGCGACTCTGTTGCCCAGCTGTCGGCTGGAAGGTCTGCTCGCTGCCTGCTGCCTGCTGCTGCCTGCTGCTACCTGCTGCTGCCTGCGGTCGCCTGCTGCGCTGCTGGAAGGCTGTCCGGCTCACAGGCTGCTGCTGCCCAGCTCCAGGCGCATCTTATGTGCGTGCCGCCCACGGCAGTAGTAATCCTGCGGCGATTGATTGGGCACGAAAGCCAGCGGCAGGCACGGCAAGTGCGCTCTGATTTGGCACGAAGCAGCCCGGGCCAGCCAGGTTGCAGATCCCCGGTCCGCCAGACAAGACAGCCATCCTTGGATGGCGAAGGCAGCACGCCAGGCTGGCGCCAGCTCAGCGCCGTCCCGCCGCACCTCTAGGAGCGCCTCGCTGGCAAAGCCCTCTCCCTGGTACAGCCCGAGGGCTGGTGCGTTCTCGGCGTCCACGTGAAGGCTGACGGAGGCCACTCGGCGCTCGGCGCGGGCCGACCCCACAGCTGCGCGCACCAGGCTGCGTGCCACGCCGCGGCGGCGCCAGTCGGGGGCGACGGCGAGCTTGGAGATGTGGGCGTTCAGGCCAGTGGTGGTGTACACGATGTAGCCCACCACGGCCGCCTGCTGCTCCTGCTGCCGCTGCTGCTGCGGGGGCGGCTGTGCCTGCTGCGGCTTGCGCGGCTGGCGGCGGCTGGCGGCGGGCGGCTCGGGTGCTGCTGCTGCTGCTGGCGCCTCGGCGTAGAGCAGGAAAGTGTTACGCCGCTGGGTCTCCTTCACCAAAAGGTCTGCAAGAAGAAGCGGCACACAGGCAGCTCGCATCGGGCACAGGCAGCCTGATCAGCAGAGGCCCTTCTGCCCGCCGCCAGCGCGGACCCGCCGCCGCCGGCGCCGCCGCCGGGCTCGGATTCAGCCGGCGCAGCTCCCTCACTGGCCACATCGAGTCGCACCTCCCCAGTTGTCCTGTTTCTTGAAGAGCTTCTTCTCCAGCGAGAGCAGCTGCAAGAGCACGGCCTGATCGCCCTTGTGGGTGGCCAGCCGGCGGATGGTGCAGCACGCGGCAGCCTGCAGGCACGCAGAAACGTGTCAGGAGGGACGCAGGGGGCTGTGCTTGGCGGCATGGCACGGAGGATGATGGGGCGGACGCACCTCTCCTGGAGAGCCTGCGATGGGCGATGGCATGCAGAAACAGTGCGGCGGCCGATGTGCGGTCGTCCCAGGGCAGCGGCGGCTGTACTTCCGTGTACAGGTGGGCGGCTCCTCCCTCCTCGCTGCCGCCCGACAGAGCACAGACAGCCGCACACCATTTCGGGCCCCATTCCTCTCGACAACGGTCAGGGTGGTGACTGCTAGTGCGTCCTCCTCCCTGAGGCAGCCTTGGATTAACCACAGCTGCAGCAGCAGCCCTCGCACGCGGCAGGCGCAGCAGCACCGGCAGCCTGCCAATCACGCCTACCGACAGAAAGGGGGCCAAGCGGCCACAGTTTGCAGTTCGCAGTTTGATTCGAGGATGCGCAAGTGCAAAGTAATGAATGTACAGGACAATAAGCAGGCTGCCATCAACCTTGCCTTGCTCCCAGCCCGCCCCTGCCGCTCCCTCGGCGCGGCTCACAGGATGAGCGGCGACGGCGGCTCGCCATCCTTGTGCGCATGCTCCACCCGGCCAGACTCCACTGCCGCCAGCGACCGCCCCTGGGTCATGTTTTTAATGATGTAGTTGGCGACATCTGCGTTGTTCACATACACTGCGCCAGGGAGCGAAGCAGGGCCGAATTGGAGGCAGGCAGGGGCGAGCAGCCAAGCCCAGGCGAGTGTGCGGCAACTAGCGTGCAGACAGGGCCCTGCTGCTGCTGCTGCTGCTGCTGCCGCTGCTGCTGCTGCTCACCCAGGCCACCGTCCTCTGAGCGTATCAGCGTCCGCATGGGCTCTATCTGAGAGACGATCCCCTGCGGCAGCTCCAGGGCCCAGCAGGGGCTTGGAAGGGCCTTCAGCCCATCAGCCAGAGTGGCATGCAGGACGCCAGGCGCTGGCGGCCACCCGGCATGCCCCACCTCCACTGCCGCCTGCCCGCCTACCCACCTTTACTACCAGGATACCGCCTGCCATCAGGTGAACCTCGTCCCCCATCACAAACGGTCGAGCCGTGAACTGCACCCAGCCAGGGATGGAAGGTGAGAGGGAGGGAGGGAGGGCAGGGTTGCACGTCGGGGGGGGAGGGGGGATGCAATCGCCCAGCCACAGCCACCGCAGCGCCACAGCCGCGCCACACACAGCCCACCAGCACCACCACCGGCAGGCTGAGGGACACAAGTGAAGCAAGGGCCGCAGTGGCAGCAGCCCGACTGGACTGGTGGCGCACCAGCGCGATAGAGGCCACGGCATTCATGAGGAGGCGCTGGGTGGCCAGGCCCACCACCACGCCCACGCCGCCCACCGACGCCAGCAGCGGGCCCAGGTTCAGGCCTGCAAGCAGGCGGGATGCAACGCACCCGGCTGTGCTCAGCGGCAGCGCAACTGCAGGGAAGGTGCCCGACTCTGGCCGGCCAGTGCTGCGGCAGGGCTGCGTGAGCTGGGCTGCATGCCAGCCTACGCGGCATGGCGAGGCCGGGCACGCCCTGCCGCGCACCATAGGCCCCCAGGGTGAAAGCCGCGGCGGCCAGCAGGATGAGGAAAGTGAGGATGCCACCCAGCGGGCGCAGCAGGGTCACCGCCGCGTCGTTGGAGGCGCTCCTGCAGCGGCAGCAGGCCACGGGCGCGCGGCGGTGTGGCCTCTGCTCGGCCTGGGCAGCCAGTGGCAACACAGAGGCGGCGCTGCCATGCCGGCAGCACACATGCGCAGCGCATGCGCGGCTGTTGCTGTCGCTGGCGTGGAGAGCTGGAAAAAAAGAGCACGAGCACATGCCGCAGCCTGCTGCGGCGGCACACGCACGAGTCGCTTAGGATGGAGGCTGCCAGCCAGTTGAGGGCCCTGTTTTTGAAGTCGATGGCGGCCCAGGCCACAAAGATGATGATCAGCAGCTCGCTGGTGTCCTGCAGGGCGCGCTGGGCACGCTGGGTGTGCTGGGCATGCTGGGCCTCGACAGGAGCACATCAACAACAGCAGAGGCGCCGGGCCTGGAGGCTGCTCCCAGCTTGAGCACGCAAAGCAGCTCGTGCAGCAGGCTGCCTGCAGGAAAGGCAGAGGCGAGCAGGGCGGCGGCAAAGAATTGCGAGCAGGACGGACGCCCACCTGTACCAGCTGAGTAAACCACCGCAGCGCAGCCAGCACCTCCTCGTTCCTGCCGCCTGCACAGGGCAGGGTGGGGCCAAGAGAGCCGCACGGTGGGGGCAGGTATGCGAGGCCAGCACCTCAGGAGACGGTGCAGGCAGCCGGCGCAGCGGCAGCGGCGGCGTGGCCTCACGCACTGCAGCGCAGCATGGCGCAGCGCGGCAAGTGCCGGCCGCGTCTCACGGCACAGCCCCACGAAATCTTTCTTCAGCTTGGTGGCCGCCACCTGGGCCAAGGCGCTGGCCAATGTCGTGAGGTAGGTGACCCCATAGTAGGGCAGCAGCACCTGCGGTGCAGCTCAGGGTGCAGTTTCATGCGAGCATTGGTGTTGGTGTTTCAGTTCGATGACGCCACGGCGCTGCGGCTGGCTGCGGGCATCCCAGGCGGCAGCAGGCGTGGGCGCACCTTGGCGGGCTTGAAGGCTGCGGCCAGGGCGGCCACCGGGGCGTTGAAGTCTCGGCCCGAGCGTGCGATGCGGTTGCCCGCCACCCGCTCAACCGCTGCCAGCAGCAGCGTGCCCAGCACCGTAGCCGCCACCGCAATGCCCGCCAGCTGCAGGCTGTGAGCCACGGCTGCGTCCAAGGTGCGCATGCGCATCAGCTCGTCCAGCAGAGGCACGCCCGTGGCCTGCGGTCGACCATGGTGGCGGCGGAAACTGGCGGCTGGGTGCGGCGGCATTGCGCCAGCAGCAGGCGCAAGAGCACGGCGACACGGCAGGAGCAGAGCGGCGACCCCGCTTGTGTGTTGCCAACCATGCCGGAGCCCCACCTCGAACAACACCTCCACGGGCTCTACGGCTGCGGCATGCAATTCGTTGGGCAGAGGCCGTGCCGGTGGCGGTGGTGGCACGCCGCCAAACTGGCGGCGGCGGCTGCCTGGCGCGGCGTGTCCGTGGCCCCGTATTATGTCGGACTGACCACGGCTCCCCGAGCATTGTGGGAGGTGTGGCAGGCGCGGCGCCGCGCTGCAGCGGGCAATCGGGCGCGCCCTAGCGGCGTTCTGCACTGGCAGACCGTGCATGCCGCTGGCGCGCAGTCAACGATGGGCAAGTTGAAGATCGCCGCGGGCCGCTCCACTTATTGCTGAGCTGCATTCAGCAGTACTACGCCGCCGCCGCCACCAACCGCACTGCATCATAGCGGGGCCCTGCAAACTTGGCAGGCGACTCTAGATTACAGCGTCCTATTGAAAGCAAAAATTCATATGATTGGTTTAGGCACTGGCAAAGATCTGGCATGTATTGGGAAGGTGGCAAAGACCTTACCGGTGCACCGAGAAGAACCCGGGGAATGAGACGGGGTACCCGGGCCACAGCAGTATGATAGAGACGAGATACCCGCGCCACAGCAGGCACAGCAAGGCAGTCGACAAGTTCTGATGAAGAGCTAGCCGAAGTGAAACAAATGAAAAATGAAAAAACGGGGTGCACATGCCCTGTCACACGTATGTGGGATGGGACCACCGGCTTAAAGCGTGGCCGCAAACAAAAGCAAAGGGCAGGGACAAGTGACGCAGGAGCACCTGCCGCCGCGAAGCGATGGCAACGGCAGGGCTGCCCGCCTGGAAAAATGGTTTACAGAAGCACAAAACACAGAACGGCAGTACACTGGCGCGCTCGCACACGGGGCGGAGCAGAGAGCAAGGGCAGACGAAAAGGCGGGCCTGGCAGAGGCGCCCCGAACAGCTCCGCGCCGCCTCGCCCTGGCTGCAGAGCCTCAGCGCTTGGCACTGGGGTCGCCCACCATCGCGATACGCTTGTACCGCATCTCCCCCGCCGCCGTCAGCGCCGCGCGCTTGGCCACCTCCCCGCTGCCCCCCAGCTCCCTCACCGAGGGAAGGGTGTCCACAGAGTGGTCGGTGTAGTGGGTGTGCAGCAGCTTGTGGGACAGCTGCGGGGCAGGGGGGCGTGGGGAGGCAAATGTGTGTGTGTGTGTTGCGGGTGCAAAGGCGCGGCACCATGCTATCAAGGTGAGGAGGGAGGCAGCGATTGGCACGCACAGTCCATCTACGGGTGGGAGGTACGGGCAACAACAGCGTGCCAGCCGAGCCATCTGTGGTAAGCACTGGAGGCCCCCGGCTCCCCTTCCTCGCTCCCTCTGCTTCGAGGAATGCTCGCTCACCTCTCCCCCCGGTTGCCCCAAGAACTCAGCGTAGATCTTGTGGATGGAAGGGTTCTCGTGGCTTTTGCGCAGCGCCAGGCTCTTGTCCACCTGCACCACGATGCGGCACGCTTTGGATATCTAGCCACCACGGCCGGCGGCGCAACTCGGCACGCAGCACGCCACGCCATGCCACGCCACCACGCCGCCACACGCCACGCCGCGGCGTGGCACGACAACAACAGGCAGATGGTTGGAGTGAAGCAGGAAAGGAAACTTCCCGCTAACACCACACGACCAAACACGCCACCCGCTACACCACCCACCACCAGCCCTCCAGGAGGCCCTCCACAAGGCCTAACCTGGTAGATGGCTCCCATGCGCTTCAGCACCGCATCCGGGTCATGTGTCTTGGGCTGGCCGCCGCCGCCGATGCAGCCACCGGGGCAGGCCATGACCTGCAGGGAAGGGAGCAGGGCAGGCAAGGCAGGGAAGAAAGAACAGGCGTCAGCACGCGGAAGCCAGGAAGGCAGCTCCGGGCGGGCGGCAGCAGCGACCGGGAAACAGAAGCGCGGGACCGGGGCGGGCCGCGAGTGGTGCGCTGCGCTGCGTCTGCAGGCCCTCCGGCAGCACCACAAGCCGTGCCGCTGGGCAGTACGGCTGGGCTATACTGCAGTGACACTGTACTGCTGTACCGCTGCACCGCACCTCGACAAAGTCGTAGTGCGCCTCGCCCGCCTGGATGCGCTGCAGCAGGTGGCGCGCATTGCCGATGCCAGAGGCCACCGCCACTCGGATCTGCGGGGCCGGCGGGGTGGCATCGCATGGCGGTCGGCATGCGCGGCATGCATGTGCCTGGGCAGGCAGGCGTGTGTGTAGAGGTACAGAGGTGCCAACAGGCGGCCTGGTCGCCGTGCATGCGGGCGATGTGACGCAATGGCCCGCAGGACACCAGCGTGGAGCAGGCTCCCCTGCGTGTTGGCAGCTTGCTTGCCCCCGCGGCGATCCGAAGTGCAGGCAGGTGCGCCCGCGGCGGCGCCGGCGCCGCACCTCCTTGCCCGCCACCCCCGCCTTGAGGGTGGTGTCGTTGGCTGGCAGCGTGAGGGTGGCCTCCTTCACGCCCTTCACCCCCCTCACCGCCTCCACCTCAAGCTTGGGCAGGGGCTCGCCTGCGCACAGCGGCGGGCGCATGTGCATGTGATTGCAGGCAGTGCCACGGCAGAGTCAGGGCGCGCGCCCTGCCACCGACCCTCTCACACACCAAGCGCCAAGCACCAGGCAGGCCTCGCTGCCTCGCCACCTGCCCGAGCCAACCACCCACAGGCCAGCCCAGGCTGGGGCCTGGCCTCGCCACGCCAGGAACGACCAGCCTGCCAGCCCCCAAACCCCCATCCACCCTCACACACCTGCGGCGATCTCGTAGGCGGTGCGAATGGCGGCCTCCATGACGCCGCCGGTGGCGCCAAACAGCGCCGCCGCCCCCGTGGCCTCTCCCAGCGGGTTGTCAAACTCCTCTGGCTTCAGAGATGGCATGGGGATCTTCTTGTGGCTGCGGGAGGCAGGCAGGCGAGGGGAGGGAGGCAAGGAGGGAGGTGGGAAGGCAGAGACACGAGGGCGATGCGCTGCTGTGGCGGACACGGAATGTGCACCGCCGTGGCTGCGACGGGTGTACCGCATGTACCGCCGCCAGCTCACCGCAGCATGTGCCCAAACTCGCGCGTGGTGATCACGTAGTCGCAGTCGTAGGCGCCGTTCTCGTTCCTGCGCAAGCAAGCAAGCAAAGCAAGCACAGCACAGCACAGCAAAAGCAAGCGAAGCAGGATGGGCTTGTTCAGTCATGCGCCAAGCAGGTCAACTCCAGCCACGCAGGCCAGCGACAGGGCGCAGCCGGGCGCCCAACCATGCAGCGCAGCGCTGCACTGCACTACTCGCAGGCACGCCGGGCAGCCAGCCAGCCAGCCAGGCAGCGCAGGCAGGCAGCCAAGCAGGCAGCCCAGCTGCCGCACCTGCCCACCCCAGCTGCCACCTGCCCAGCCCAGCTGCCCAGCCTAGCCCAGCCCAGCCCAGCTGCCGCACACCTAAACTCCTTGCGCTCCGTCTCGTGCTTCTTGGCGGTGCAAGGCATGATGCCCACCTGCGGGCACGCCGCGGTTAAGCGTGGAGGGAGCAGGTCGGGGAGCCGCAGGGGAAACAGGGCGGGCCGACGCGTGTCAACGCCCGCGGCCAGCAGCGACCCAGCGCGCGCCGGCTCAGCGCCAGCTCGGCGCCGCCAGCTCGGCACGCCCGCAGCAAAGCATTCGGGCGCAGCAGCGGCTGGGGGAGGGGGGCGGCGGTACGGCTGCCTCCCATGGCTACGGCACACGGCAGCTCACCAGGCACACATCCTCTGGCTTCAGCCCTTTCTTTTTGGCCCAGTAGTGTTTCACCACGGCCCCCATCATCATCTGCGGGCTCTTGCAGCTGCTGAGGTGCGGGATGAGCTCCGGATAGGACTGCAGGGCACCAGGCGGGGGCTCAGCAGGGCGAGGGAGGGTGGGAAGGGCGTCGGGGCGGGAGCAGTCTCACAGGAGCTTGGCAGGGGCATGCCCCGCGGCCTGCCAGCCTGCCCTGGCTGCACACGCAGCATGGCGAGGGGCGGCGCAACAGCGAACAGGGCCATGCTGTTGGGGCGGTACGGGGCGGTACGGGGCGGTACCTTCTCCACCAGGTTGATCCACGCGGGACAGCAGGAAGTGAACATGGGCAGCGGGCCCGGGGCGTGGCCGTGCGCCTCCCCCTCGCCATGCCCCTGCTTGGCGGCAGCCCACGAGCCGGCCGCCGCGTCCTGCGCCGCCGTCTCCGCCCGCCAGGCCGCCCCAAGACGCTGCAGCAGCTCGGTGCCTGCGTGGAGGGCACAGGTTGGGGGCCGCGGGGGGGTCGGCCTGGTCCGGGTTGTTGCACCGCGACCCCTTCCTGCTGCATTCCCTCCCTCCTCCAAAGGATGCCCGTCGCAGCCCTATCCCCCAGCCTGCCTCCCCTTCCCAAGAGGCAGGCCCACCAACCTCCACCCCCACCCCTCCACCAACACACCTCAAACTTCCCCACACACGCCACCAACGCACCTCCACCACCCACACACTCCACCCACACACCTCCACGCCCACACATGCAACCCCCACGCACTCCACCCACCAACCCCCGCCACCCCACCCCGGCTCACCCTCCTCCATGATCGTGAGGTCAGCAGAGAAGTCGGAGTCGAAGACGTAGTCGAAGCCCAGCGCGCGCTGCGCCGCCACCATCTGCCCAGTCTCCACCGTGCCTGGCGCCAGCCCCAGCTCCTCGCCGATCGACACCCGCACGCTGGGCGCGGTCTGCACCACCATGACCTGCGGGGGTGGCGAAAAAAGAAAGCGCAGGAGGGCGGCGGCGGGGGCGGCGGCGGCGGCGGCGACAGCGGTGGGGGCGGGCCCGGGGGCAGCGATTGTGGCGTTGTTGGAAGTGGCGGAGTGGGGCCGCGGGACGCTGGTGGGGCGCGGGCGGCTGGCGCAGAGGGCTTGCAGACAGTAGTGGGCTGTTCGCGGGGGGTCGGCGTCTCAGTCGGCCATAGCCGATGTGAAGAGCCCCCAGGCCTGCCTGCCCTCGCTGCCCCGGCCCAGGGGGAGCGGCTTTCGCTGTCGGCAGGAGCAGAGTGGGGTCGCGGGAGGCGTGCGCAAAAGGGGCCGGAATGGAGCGCTGGGCGCCGGGCAGCAGCCTCCCCTCAGCCCGCCCCAGCCGCTGCGGCCGGCCCGCACACCAGCAGGCCTCCCATCCTTGCCACCTGCCCGCCTTCACCACGCGCGGCCACCACGCCGGCCTCCCCACCCCCCGCCTCCCCTCCCTGAAACAGCCCACCCCCAACCCTACACAACCCTACACAAGCCACCCCCCCACACACACACAACCGCACCTTCTGCTTGTTCTCCAGAGCATCCAGCACCTGCCGCCACTCCGAGTGCTCCACGATGGCGCCCACGGGGCACACGCTGGAGCATTGGCCGCACTCTATGCACTTGGAGTGGTCGAGCGCCTCCTCTATGAGCACCCCCGGGTGCGCCATGCGCGACCGGTTGATCATGCCCAGCACATTCATCTGCTGCACCTGCACGGCGGCACGCGGCGGCGGCGGCACAGGACACGGCGCGGGCGATGGCGGCGCTGGCGGAGGAGGCCCGGCGGGGCGCAACTCTTTGGATCCCTCTCCCATGGACCACGCCTGCTGCAGGCAGGTCTGCGGGCGAGCATGCGTCGCGGCCCGCCTCGGCGCAGCCGTGCGCCAGTGTGCAGGAAGGATGGCGGCGCCGCCGCACCTGGCCGCACATCGTCACGCACCGCCCGCACTTGATGCACTTCTCTAGGTCAAGGGTGAGCGCTGTGGAGGAGGAGTCGTGGAAGTGCTCAAAGTCGGCCTGGCGGGGGCGGCGCAGGGGTGGGCAGGGGGCGGTTGGATGGGGCCACGGCGGGCGCTGGCGGGGGGTGCTTGCTTGCGGTGGTGGCGGTGGGCGGTCGCTGGCGGTGCGGTGGGTGTGGTGTGCATGCGTGGAGGCGGGCCGGCAGAGCGAGCCCACCTCCGCTGATGTGCTGCTCCTGCTGCGGGCCGGTGCGCGTGCCTTCCAGCCGAGGACCCCCGCCCTGCCCACCTGCCCCGCCACCCACCTGCACCTCAGCATCCCACTCATGGCTATAAGTCTTCAGCTTGGGAAGCACATCCTTGACGTTGTACCGCGAGATGAGGTCCTGTTGTACCGCCACGGCGGCAGCAGGAGGAAAGGCGCGGGCGGGTCGGCTTGTGCGGGCGGGCCGCGCAGCGGAACGGCAGCGCGGTGCAGCCACCGGCAGCACGGCAAGCCGCACGCAGCACGACGCAAGCCTATGAGCTGGCTGCAGCACTCCTCACAAGGCGCCCACCTGGAACTCGCAGCGGCCCGATGCATCACAGTTCCTGCGCACAGCCAGAGGCACGCGCGGCAGCAGTCGCAGGGGCAGCCAGTCGTGGGGCAGCCCATGGGAGCGGGCACGCCCGCCACCTCCCTGCCACCACCACCACCACCACCACCTCCCTGCCGCCACCACCACCACCGCATGCGCCGCCAACCAAAGCTCACATGCAGTCGGACGGGTGGTTTGCCTTCATGAGCGACAGCACGCCACGGATGCTCTCCTGCACCTTGTCCGTCGCCGTCTGGACCTCCATGCCCTCCCAGGCAGGCGTGGCGCACGCTGGCTGCGCGACCATGGCAACAGGCGGGGAGGCGGGGCGGACAGGCAGGGGACGGGGGCTTTGTCGGTGGAAGAACGCGAGCAGCAGCCGCCCAGAGGGGCCGGCGCTGGTGCTGCGCCCTGTCCTTGCGTGATGGCGGCAGCCGCAGGCGACACATATGGCTGGCAGTGACTCGACACAGACAAGGGTTCGTGCAAACAAGAGGCAGGACTGGCAGTTTGGGAGGCAGCGAGCGGCACAGCGGCTGATCTGCCCTGCCAGCTCCAAACCGCCCGCCCCTTGCACCTCACCCTCGCCTACCCACCTTGAGCTGCCCGCCCCCCGTCTCCACCATGCATATGCGGCAGGTTCCAGGCGTCGTGGGCAGCCGCGGGTGCGTGCACAGCGTCGGCACTGCGGCATGCATGGCGCGGCAGGGTCGTGACGTGGCATGGCGGCAGCTGCATGGTTGTGCCTGGGGCAAGGCATACTCAAGCAGGCAAGCGTAGCGCTGCACACACATTCCACAGCAGCATAAGGCGGGCGCAGAGCAAAGCAGAGGGCGAGTGTGTAGACTGGAGCTGCCGCCGCTCACCGTAGGCTCCCGCCTCCCTGCAGGCGTTTAGCACCGACGTCCCTTCCGGCACTGTTACCTCCCTGCCGTTGACCTTGAGCTTCAGTTTAGGGTATTGCTCTGCAAACTGCTCTGCGCTGGCCGCCAGGGCGGGCAGTGACCTGCTGAGGCCCACGCATATAGCCCTGGCCACTCCCAGCAACCGCAGCGCCTGGTCGGGGCTCTGCAGGCCCCTCCTGACAAGGGCTTCCATGGGCGCTACACCAAGGCTTGGGTTCCCGCGTGCTGCTTCTCTCGGGCCTTTGCGGGTGGAGCGGCGGCGGCGTCACCTGACCGGCTGGCCTGTGCGGATGCACACTCTGCTGGTTGTGCTGAGCCGATTGCGAGAAGACTGGGTCCCGAAAGGGTACACTTTGCGCGGCGCATTTCGAGTGACGTCGTGGCGCACGTGCAAGGAAGCAAGCCCTAGCGATGGCTTGATTGCTAAGAACACCCTGGCTAGCCAGGAGGTGATCGGTGGCATCCCCCGAGTGACCCCAACAGCGCTGGGGCCACCCGGTGGCGGGAGGATGGCGCCACTCCTGGCACACCCTGCCAGCGCCGTGGAGCGATGATGGTTGGATGGCAGGGAGCAATCTGATGTCGTGGAAGAGACTGGAGTGGGTGTAATGGCCATTGCACATCCAGGATCACTGCTTTTGAAGTCGCGGCCTGCCGGCCAGGGGTGCGGTCACAGCTTGCATGGGCCTGGCGCTAGTCTGGCCCGACTGGTCTACCTGATCTGGCAGGCCTCCGACTGGTCACATTTAGATGGAGCATCCATCTCAAACAATTTCCTGCACAATGCAGGGGCGGATTAGAAAGGCGGCACATTTGCGGCGCCCTGCTGGCGGGAGGCATGAGCGACCTCGGAGACGCTGTTGTCCTGCCTCCTCATTCCTCATTTCGCGCCGCTGCTGGGGCGCATCACAGATTCACCTCCTCCTCCACCGCCGCAGGCCAAGGTAAGCTGAAGACCGGCAACCTTACGAAAGCTGGGCAAGCCGGCTTGCCCTCCCAGCATGCCACCTGCAAATCTTATCAATCAGGATATTCGTCCCAGCGAGCCTTGGACTTTGGCGGGCAGATGGGGAGTAGCGGCGCCGGGGCCGCCTGGCGGTGGCGCCGAACCCGCGTAGCACCGCACCCTCTCGTCTGCAGGCCTTTGCATCCCTGTACCATGGCAGCCACCATTGCCGACTGCCCTGACGAGGTGCTCAGGCACATTCTAGAGCTGCTCACAGAGGATGAAGGGTGAGCGGTTCCCTCCCGCAGCTACTGCGCCTCCCTTGGCAGCCGCTTGCCCGCCCCATTGCCAACCCCTGCCAGCTGCCTGCTGCCCCGCTGCCCGCGCCTGCCAGCTGATGCCTGCCGCTGCTCCTCTGCCCCCGCCGCGTGCCGCAGGCAGGCGGGCCCTCACACGCTAGTCTGCCGCCGCTGGCGCGGCTGGCGCTGTGCGACCGGGAGCAGCTGTGGAAAGTGTTTCGCCTGGCGCCAGCCTGGAACCTGCAGTCGGGCAGGCTGCAGGAGGGCCGGTGGTTCGGCTGCATGCTGGGCCTGCTACATCACGTCAGCCCGCTGGTGCGGCAGCTGGTGGTGGATGGCGCAGACCCTGGCAGGGCGGGCCCCGGCCAAGGAGCAGCGCCCCAGCTGGCAGACTTTCTTGCCAGCCTGCAGCCTGGGGCGGTGGAGAGCGTGCAGGTGACGGACTGGACGCCGGTGCCGGCAGCTGCCATGCAGCTACTCCCTAGCTTCTCGGCCCTGCGCCAGCTGTCGCTGTGCCCGCACGACGATTACCGCCTCCCGCCCAACACCGCCGCCGTGCTGTGCCAGCTGACGTGCTTGCGCCGGCTGGCCGTCTCCAACAGCGGCGCGCCGCTCCCCGACGGCCTGCCCGCCGCGCTCTGCGCGCTGCGCCAGCTGTCGCACCTCGCACTCACCTGCCACCGCGCGCTGCCCGGCCTGCGGGCGCTGACTCAGCTGACTCAGCTGGAAGGCCTGAAGCTCAGCGAGCACTCGGGCCAAGGTGCGGCGGCGGCGGCCAACAAGCAAGGGCTGCTGCCGCCGCCCGCCGCCTTCTTCCCAAGCAAGACCCACACCACTTACGCCTCCACCCGGGTGGGTGCGGCGCAGCCCTGGGACCAGCTGTGCCACCTCTCTAGGCTGCACCTGCAGGCTGCTGGGTCCACGCTGCCACTGTATGCCGCCGCTGCAGCAGCGGGCGTGTGCTGCAGCCGCTGCGGCAAGCCTTGCTGCGCCGCTTGCTGCAGGTTCCCGGCGCCGCCCTGAATTGCGCCGGCGCAGGCCTCTGCCGCCTGAAGGCGGCCCCTGACCGCAGCAGCCCAGCCGGCGCGGCGGCCTCTTTTGTGGCGCTCAGCGGCGCCCTCCTCGCTCCCAAGGCCTGCGTGCCGGCTGCTGACCGCCAGGCAGCCTGCCGTAGCGCTGCGCATCGAAGGCTGTGCCCTGCACCCTGCAGCCTTTGAGGGCGGCGGCAGCGTGCTGGGGGTAGTCACGCGCCTCGACCTGCGCCGCTGCAGCGCATCGCTGGCTCGGGACGGCAGCAGCAGCTTGGCGCACGTGATGCGGCGAGCAACGGCGCAGATGCCGCTCCTGCGGGAGATCGGCGTATGGGATTGTGACCTGAGCTCCGGACTGGAGGCTGCCCCACTGGCAGCCCTGGCCAAGCTCAGCATCCGCGGGTGCAGGCTGCGCGGCCTCCCCGACGCTCTCCCGGTGGCAGGTGAGGCGTCCGAGCAGGCGTGCGGCAGCTTGTCGGTGGGCTGTGTGGCAGTCGCAGCCTGGCATGTGTGGTGGCCATGACGGTCGCCTGTGCACTGCCCGGCTGCAGGCCTGAGGGACTTGGTGCTGAGCGGCAACCAGCTGCTGGCTGTGCCGCCGGTGCTGGCGGGCGCGGGGGCGCTGCGCCAGCTGGATGCCAACCCGCGGCTGGAGGTGACGGAGGAGGATTTGGACGGCACGCTGCTGCGCCTGCCGCACCTGAGGCAGCTGTGGCTGGAGGGCACGGGCACGGCGCCCGAGGTGGTGGAGCACCTGCGCTCCTCCGCCCCATGCACCTGGAGATTGCCACGGGCTAACCAATTCGACTCCGGGTGCACCGCACCTGTGCAAGGCCAGCTTCTCGGCGCCCCATCCTGCGTCTGCCTTGCATTCACTTGCATCTGGCCATCATGTTGCCCTGTATTAATGATTTCACAGTGCATCGATGCCAGGCACGTCCTGCCACACCAAGAACCTGCTGTGCAGCAGGCGTATGCTTGCCGGCAGCAGCGGGGCGGGACAGCGGCGGCGGCGGACCCTGCCGCTTGCAGGTGGCCAGCAGGGCGGTCGCTACCTGGCCCACACGGCGGCGCTGACATCCCAGACTGTCGCCGGGGGGCCAACATGCCCTGAATTGGCCAGAAAGCGCCAGCCAGCCACCGAGAGGAACTTGCCTTCCACCTGGCGCCGCGCCCTTCTGCGCTCCCAAACGAGGCACCTCGGCTTACAACCAGTGTACCCCGGTGTTCAGACGCCTCCCTGGCACGCGCACAGTCCGTCTGCTGGGGCCACCGCGATCGAGTGCCGCCTTCGAGCTAAAGCAGACCACCCGGCACAGCCCACAACCACAGATAGCTTCACCGAAAGGGAAGGTATTCCTTAGGAGCAGACACAGTTTGGGCACGGACCGTCGGCGGCAAGCGGCGGCTGCAGTGCGCTGCCACGTTTCCCCGCGTGCTGCCAGCACCTCGGCAGCAGCCAACCCCCAGATCAGACAGCACAGGGCAGCTAGCCCCGCCGCCCAGTAGCAGGCGGGGATGGCGGCGGCCCAAGCAGCAGCCGCCGCGGCGGTGGCGGACGTCGAGGCGGCCCTGAGAGAGGCGGACAAGGCTGCCAAGAAGCAGAAGGTCTGTGCCGCCTCAAGCGCGCAAGCCATCAACAAGATGCTGCAGGTGAGAGAGGGAGGCTGCACCGGGCCGACTGACTGCGCCGCCGCTGCTGCCAGCATCCTGCGCTGATGCCGAAAGCAGGTGCTGGCCTGCGGCTCAGCCTGCCTGAGGCTGGGGCACGCCACTGCGCCGCAGGCCGTGGGTAAGGCCCGGCAGCAGCTGCTGGCGGCCCCGGCCGCGCCGCCGCAGGCGGTGCTGCAGGAGCTGCATGCTGAGCTGGCGGCCGCTGACGTGGCACGTGCGATGACAGCTGACACCAAGGACCTGCACGGAGCGGTCAGCAAGCTGGGGAAGGTGGGTGCCTGGCTGTGCTGGGCTGTGCTGGGCAGGGTGGGGCTGGGCGGGGGCTGGAGGGAGGGTGCGGCTCCACACTCCAGGCCACCGGCAGAGAAGGCGAGCGGATCTCAAGCACTGGCCAGTACCACGCATGCGAGGAGCCTGCCTTTCCGGCTGCGACCAACCCTGATCTTTGCCCTGCAATGGAATCCATGCGTCGCCGCCCACCTGCCTGCCTGCCTGCCTGCCGGTTGCTGCTGCCCTCACCTGTGCCTGCTGCCTGCCTGCCTGCCCTCCCGCCTGCCCGCCCGCCCGCCTCTGCCCACAGATCGTGGACCGAGCCTTCACCGCCGACATCTCCAAGGCCTATAAGCCCGACCGGCCGCTGGACCAGCGCGCCCTCAACCAGGCACGCGCCGCTGCCTAGCGTCCTGCCCCTGGGCTGCATGCTACCTGCACGGCATAGCCTATCCCCCTGCCCTGTGTTGCTGCCGCCTGCACGGCTTAGGCTATCATCCTGCCCCGTGCTGGCGTCCGCACTGCCTGTGCCGTGCTGTGCTACTCTCAGGAGCCCGCTCCTGCTGCCCGCCGCCACCAGGGGCCGGCCTTACCTGTGTGCTGCCGCCGCCTCCTGGTGCCGCTCGCGCCTGTCGCCGCCGCGCCCGCAGGTCATTGCGGAGCACCTGTTCCACGAAGGCCTGTTTGAGATTGGGCAGGTGTTTGTGGAGGAGGCGGGGGTGGAGGAGGGGGAGGCGCTCAAGCGGCCCTACGCCTCCATGCACACGGTGTTGCAGGAGGTGCGCTGCGCTGTGCTACGCTGCGCCGCGATGTGTGGTGCGCCATGTTGATGGCAATGCGGTGCCGCGCCGCTCAGCGCCGCCGGGCCTCGCCCCCTCCCTGCCCTGCGTGCGCGTCCACACACCCACCCGGCCACCGCCACCACACCATGCACACACCCACACCCGCCCGCACGCCTGTCGCGCCCCTCCTGGGGCCTCCCTTTCCTCCCCACCCAAAGCAGGTCCAGCGCCACAACCTGGCCCCAGCGCTGGAGTGGGTGCGCGAGCACGAGGCGGCGCTGCGCGGCCCCGGCGGCGAGCCGTGCGCCTTTGAGTTCTCCATACACCGCCTCGCCTTCCTGTCCCTGCTCAAGGAGCAAGGTGGGCAGGCAGGCGGGTGGCGGCGGGTGCTGTGGGGGTTGGCAGGGTGTGTGGGGGAAACGGTGCAGGCTGCTGCTGCTGTCCTGCTGCCGTCCTGCTGCTGGCGCGGCCGCCGGTGCTGAAGGGATGGCCGGCTGGTGTGTGCAGGCCAGGCGGCGGCCATGGCGTATGCGCGGCAGCACTTTGCGCGGTTCCAGGCGACGCAGGTGCGCGCGCCTGGCAGCTGGGCAGCTGGAGGTGCGGGTGCCAGCAGGCTGGGCGCAGCCGGCAGGCCCCGAACAGGCGGGTCTCTGTGCTTCCCCTCTTGCCCACGCCGCTGCCGCTGCCGCGCCCGCCCCACCACCCCTGCCCTGCCCGCCGACCTTGCACCCGACGCGCACCATGCATGTACCGCCCCGTACCGCAGATGGCGGCGATACAGAAGCTGATGGGCGCGCTGTGCTTCTCGCGGCGCGCGGCGGCGGGCAGGCCCAGCCCCTATGCCGACCTGCTGGCGGAGGACCTGTGGGGGAACCTGGGTGTGTACTGCTGTACTGTACTGCTGTACTGCCTGCAGTGCTGGCGTACCGTGCAGAGTGCGCCGCACGCCGCGCTGCAGCTGCACCGAAGCTGCAGCAGCGAGGCAGGCGTGCTTGCGCCCAGCGCCCTGGGCGTGCTGGGCCAGCCCATCTGACGCTGCTCTTACCCGCTCAGCGCTCCCTCCCTCCCCTCGCCTCCTCGCCCCACGCCGCGCCCCTGCAGCCCGCGACTTTGTGCGCCAGTGCTGCGTGCTGCTAGGCCAGGCCCAGGACTCGCCGCTGCTGGTGACGGTGGCGGCGGGGGCGGCGGCGCTGCCCACCCTGCTCAAGCTGGCCACAGTTATCAGCGACCAGGTCGGGCTTGGGACCCTGCTGGCCGCGCTGGCCGGGCGGCAGGCCGCGCTGGGGCGGCGGTGGGCCGTGGTGCATCCTGCTGGTGCAGCTGCACCTGCTGGTGCCATCGGCATGGCTGGTGCGCGGGCGTGGGCTGCGGGCCGGGCCAGGCCTCCCTCCCTGCCTCCCTGCCTGCCCGGCCTGCCTCCCTGCCTGCCCGCCTAACCACTGCCTAACCACTGCCCGCCCGCCTAACCACTGCCCGCCTGCCTGCCCCATCCGACACCGCCCCTGCACTCCCCCTGCTGCAGCCGGTTGCTGACCTGGCGGGTGCGGCGGAGCAACTGCCTGTTGAGATTCCTCTGGGCCAGGAGTTTATCTTCCACTCCGTCTTTGCCTGCCCCGTGTCGAGAGACCAGGTGGGCGGGTGACTGCGGGCGGGCGGGGTCTGGCCTGGGCTGGACGGCGGCTGGGCCGGGCTGGGCAGGGCTGGGGCGACAGCGTCCCATTCCTGGCACGAGCTGGCAGCAGGGCGCTGTGTGGCGGCTCGGTGTGCGGTGTGCCTGCTGGCGCGAGGGGGCGGGGGTGCAGCGCCGGCCTGTGCCTGCTCGCCTCCCGCTCCTTTCTCCCCACTCCCCCGCTCCCTGCCCCCCACATCATTTCCACCCACCCCCATCACACATGCATGCACGCTGGCTGCCCACCCGCCCTGCCCGCCTGCCCGGCCGCCGTGACCACCGCCGCTGGTCCCTCCCCGCCCGGCTGCCTGCCCCCCACATCGTCCCC